CTCTATCCCAGGACTCCAGGATCATGACCTGAGCCGAAGGCAGTCGCTTAACCAACTGAGCCACCCAGGCACCCCAGGTGTACTATTTAAAATCTTCATCTGAGGGGCGCCTGGGTGGCTTAGTCGTTAAGCGTCTGCCTTTAGCTCAGGTCATGGTCCCAGGGCTCTCGCTGTGTCTCTCTCTGTCAAATAAATAAATAAAATCTTTAAAAAAAATAATAAAATAAAATCTTCATCTGATAATTCCTATGTCTGAAATCATAGCATTGTGATTTGTATCTCTATTAGATTTTTTCTTTTCTCTCTCTCTTTTTCTTTCTTTCTTTCTTTCAATGAGGTATTCATTTTACTTAGAGAATTAATTACATGAGTTCTTTGAGGCTTGGGATCGTGGTATGCTCCTCTAGGGAGAATTTGTCTGAAACATTAAAGGCTCTGTGTTTGGGACCATTTCAGTCTAAATCCACAACTTTATTAATTTTATTTTGGACTCCTAAGAAATACAAATTTGAGCTGCAAATTGGCAGAGCTTGCTTTTGGTTAGAACTTTACAGAAACTTTTTTGTCCCTTCTTTGCTGGACACAAAGGCACCTTTTCTTGCAGTCTTCTCTGAGGGTGAGATGGGTAGGTTATTCAGGCATACACTTTTAGATCAATGCCGTAAAGGTCACCTATTGACTTTCTTCCTTGGGCCAATCCTTGAATTTGCATCTTGTCTACTACCCGACGAGGCTGGTAAAACCAAAGCTTAATTTTTTGGGGTTAGGTTTTTGACCTGGTTATTCTTTATCATCTTGTCAGCTCTTTGAATTTTTTTTTAAAGATCTTTTTACTCTTTCATCGGGCATTTTCTGCATTAAGGTTGGTCTATATTATTTCATCTACCACTGTATTCACATTTTAAAAAAACACCGTGGTTGTGCTTTTTTTTTTTTTTTGGTAGTACACACTCTTCATAGTATTTTAAATGGCTCTGTAGGTTGGATAGTGACTCATGAGTTATTTAATCATTCTCCAATTTGGACATTAAGCTATTTTCTTTAGGGTTTTGCTATTATAAATATTACTGATAAACTGATTTCATTGGTAAAAATGTTAACAATTTTTATTGCCTTAATTTCTGTTGTGGTGGTACATTTTCCAAATTTAAATATCCTTGGTCATTCAGATCTTGAGCCTTTTTCATAAAGGTTTGTATAATATTTTCATAAAGATATTAACTCATTGTCTTTAAAGGTTACTTCGCTAAAATGCTTCTGTTTCTGCTTGAGGAGTATATATTAATGGAAACTATCAATGATTCTTTTGTCAAATTTTAACAAATGTTCTTATTCATCATATCTTATTTGGAAGAAATTACTTAAAATTTATCCCTGTTAATTGTTTCCCAATTTTTTTTATTCATTGCTGTTTAGCGTTCTGTAGTACTTACTTCAAATTTTTTCATTATTTTTCTAAAACCTTCTACTAGTCTTCTGCCTCACAACCTTGCAATCCCCCCGTAGCCATCTCTATTAGTTTTTTTGTGTTTTAAAAATAGCTTCTTGGGGCGCCTCGGTGGCTCGGTCGGTTAGGCGTCTGCCTTCAGCTCAGAGCATGATCTCAGGGTCCTGGGATAGAGTCCCGCGTTGGGCTCCCTGCTAAGCAGGGAGCCTGCTTCTCCCTCTGCCTCTCTCTTTCTCGCTCTCTGTCAAATGAATAAATAAAATCTTTAAAAAAAAAAAAGATACCTTCTTGCCCCCCCCCCCGCCCATCTCAGTGGTTTACAGCAATTAACATTTATTTCGTTCACACTGCTGACATTTATGCAGCTGTGAATCCGTTCTTGCAGCAGCCTTTCACGTGTATTTCACGTGTATCCAGGGCTCAGGCTGAAAGTGTCACCCCATTTGAGAAGTGACATTCTTGCGGCAGAGAGTAAAAAAGGAGAGCTGATGTAAACCCATAGTGCCTCTTGAAGCTTCTGTATAGAGAGGTGGTATATATCATATCTGTTTGTGTACTCATATGATTAAGTGCAGTGGGAATTGCATAAAAGTGTGTGGCACTGGGGGCGCCTGGGTGGCTCAGTTGGTTAGGCATCCAGCTCTTGATTTCGACTTAGGTCATAATCTCAGGGCTGTGAGCTCCATGCTGTGGGTGTAGCCTGCTTAGGATTCTCTCTCCCTCTCTCTTTCTTTTAAATAAAAAAAAAAAAAAAGTGTACTGCAAGTCATAGTACTAGCCAGAGTATATTATGGAAGGGACAAGTAAATACTTGTCAACAGTAATACAATCTGCTATATCTCTCATGTTTAACTTTCTGGCGCAAATTTTTGTAATTACTTGTATCCATATTGAAGTTTCTTTGTGAAGTCTTCCTTTATGCCTTAAATATAGTTATTTCTGTTTTAAAAATGAATCATTTTATCTGTGATCTTGAACGTACTTGAATGTAAGTTTATCAGGGACAGATTCTTGTCTGCTTTGTTCAGTGCTTCCTCAGCACTAGAAAAATGCTAGACTCACAATGTTTTTTCAGTAAATGTTATGTTTCCCTTCTTATTTCATCACTTATTCTGTCACTTATCTCATTTTTTCTATCTTCATTCACTGGCAGTTCTCCTTGCTAGCTCTATTCCTGATGTCTCTTAATGACTATATATTTTCTTTAATTATTTTAATAAATCACAACTGTGTATTTAACAAATTCTGTTAACTTTTTAATGAAGAGAATAAACTTTTTGAGCTATTTATTTATTTATTTATTTTAAGATTTTATTTATTTATTCATGAGAGACAGAGAGAGAGAGAGGCAGAGGGAGAAGCAGGCTCCCAAGGAGCAGGGAGCCTGATGCAGGACTCGATCCCAGGACCCTGGGACCATGACCTGAGCCGAAGGCAGACGCTTAACCATCTGAGCCACCCAGGCGCCCACTTTTTGAGCTTTTAACTCCTCTGGAGAATATAGCCTACATATTTCTTCCCATAAAATGCTTATCACCCTCTCATTAAAAAGAGAAAAACAGGGCGCCTGGGTGGCTCAGTCGTTGAGCAATGCTTCCGGCTCAGGTCATGATCCCAGGGTCCTGGGATCGAGCCCCGCTTCGGGCTTCCTGCTCAGCAAGGAGCGTGCTTCTCCCTCTCCCACTCCCCCTGCTTGTGTTTCCTTTCTCGCTGTGTCTCTCTCTGTCAAATTAAATAAATAAAATACTTTAAAAAAGAGAGAGAGAAAAACAACCCTCCCCTTTACTCTTAAAATCTGACTTCTCACTATTGCTCTAAAATTTCTTTACTTTTTGCATTTCTCATTCTCTTTGACTTCTTTTGAGCCCCTACCCCCTTAAACGCTATTCCTCTAGATCCTGAGGATTTATAATTCACTGTTCTGTTTTTTCTTTCTAAGGCTGTTCTCTTTTCTTAGAATGTTCTTCCTTCCTCTACCTCTTAAGTGTACTAATACTCCCAGGTTCTATTTTTAACTCTCTCCATTTTTTTGTCTTCTATTGTACGTGTGTGTTTATTTTTTAGAGAGGGTACATGCGCGAGAGGGGGGGGGAGCAGGGAGGAGGAGGAGAGGGAGAGGGCGAGAGAGAATCTTAAGTATCCACGTCCAACGTGTGGGGCTGGATCTCATGACCCTGAGATCTTGACCTGAGCTAAAATCACGAGTCGGACCCTTAACTGACTGAACCACCCAGGCGCCCTGTCTTCTGTCATTTTTAGTGGAACTCTCATTCATATAGTTTTCACATTTGTTTCTACATAGATGATTTACAAATCTGTCTTAAAACTAGTTTTTCTGAGTTTGCCTTATTTCCACTTGTGTCTTACCATCACCGCAACTTTGACATGTCCAAAACCAAATTGTTTCCTACTAGTATTGATTCCTCCCCTTGGAACTAACTCCTGTTTTTGTTGCTGGTGCATAGTCACCAGGCTTCTGAAAGGAAAGGGAAGAATACCAGCATTTGTTTAGCATCTGGGATACACTAAGCACTGTGCCTTTCGATTACATAATGTCTAGCTCAGGTTTTATCTCCTGATAAACCTCCAAACAATCATGGTGGATCCTCTGTGATCCCTTCTTAGACCACTTACAGTACATTTGTGTTTAAACCACTAGATCCTCGGGCGCCTGGGTGGCTCAGTCGGTTAAGCGACTGCCTTCGTCTCAGGTCATGATCTCAGGGTCCTGGGATCAAGCCCTGCATCGGGCTCCCTGCTCCGCGGGAAGCCTGCTTCTCCCTCTCCCACTCCCCCTGCTTGTGTTCCCTCTCTCGCTGTGTCTCCCTGTGTCACATAAATAAATAAAATCTTTAAAAAAACAAAAAACAAACCACTAGATCCTCAGTATATGAATCTCCTATAATTAATACTTTTAGTTTGTAAGCCTTTCAAAAACAAAGATTTTTTTTTTTTTTTTGAAGAAAAAGGTTTTGGGTTTTTTTTTACTATTTTTTTTAACAATGTCTTATTTGTTTCAGGGGTACAGGTCTGTGATTCATCAGTCTTACACAATTTCACAGTGCTCACCATAGCACATACCCTCCCCAATGTCCATCATCCAGGAACCCCATCCCTCCCACCCCCTCCACTCCAGCAACCCTCAGTTTGTTTCATATTTCTTTTCATCAAAACAGTACTCCCTAGGTACAGTACATTTTAATAAGTATTTGACAGTTTTCACAGAGAAACAGTGCTCTCAGTAAGGGCATGAATCTCAACCTCAGTAATAAAACTAAATAAATGAAAATGAAATAACTGATAACACAAAGCTAAGTAACAGCTAAGCTGGACTCTTGAACCTTGCACCCAGTTGAAAGGGGTTAGCATCTAGAAGGGGCAGGGGCTCTTTACTTATACATTAAGGATCACCTGTTCACCTGTTGAAAAAATCTTAACTCCATAACAATATCTCTTTATCAATAATATACTATCGTAAAGCTTTTTTTATATTGCTTTGATAACCATATTTATAGAGGTAGAATTATTTACTTTAGCTTCTCTTCCCCATTAGGTGCACCAGGTATAATTTCTTCACCCTATGCAGGGGCTGCTGGATTCGCCCCAGCCATTGGATTTCATCAAGCTACAGGTGATTTTTTTTTTTAAGTTGAATTTGAAATGGTTTTATAATGATGTGTATGTTCTAGGAACTTATCAAGATGAAAAATAGCACCATACTTGAACAGGATTTACAATAAAAGCATTATGTATATCAGCGAGCTTATCAAGATGAAAAACAGCACCATACTTGAAGGATTTACAATAAAAGCATTATGTATATCAACCATAGAAGTGGCTCATTGTATGATGCACAGCTTCCTTGTCTTTACAAATAATTCCCTGTGGTTCCATCCTCAACCCCCAAGTTCTAGTATATATTCTGCATCATGTATACTGTTGGTATAGATTACTATAGGTTGAATGTATTAATTAACCTCACGTTTGCCTTTTAGATTCTTGTATAAAATGTATGAACTGCTTCTTTGCTGACAAGCTTATCAGTTGCACATTGGACAGACCTGTATCTCACTTACATTTGTGTTCTTAATGCCTTTGATGGCATTCAGTACATACTATGCAGTCAATAAATACTTGAATTATTTTTTTTTTAAGATTTTATTCATTTATTTGAGAGAGGGAGAGAGAGAAAAAGAGCATGACCCGGGGGAAGGGGCAGAGGGAGAGGGGGACGCAGACTCTGCACTGAACAGGGAACACGATGCGGGGCTCAATCCCAGGACCCCAAGACAACGACCTGAGCCAAAGGCAGACACCCAATAGACTGAGCGACCTAGGTACTCCGATAAATACTTGAATTAATAAATATTTACTATGCAACATATTTGTAAATCCTTTCTTATGTCACTGATGGGTTCAGAGGATTGCCATAGAGTATACATGCTGCTTATTTTAAGGGATATATATTTTTTAGCTAATAGAGTTAACTAAGAGATAGCAGTTGGTTAATATTTTGATAATGACTTTCTCACTTTTCCAAATAGTAAGCAAAATGAATTTGATCATAACTTAAGGAAAAGAAAAACATTTCTTTATGGTTTTCTCTCCAGTGCCTAAAGAAAACACTGAGGTTGGTGATTAGAAGAGTGATACAGTGTTAATCCTGGTGTACATATTACATTTCCAGTTTCCAGCTGATTAATGAATATAACTCTACTTTAAATTGCAACATAGCTGCTTTCTGTCACTAATCTTTATATTTCTATCCTTCCAATTTTGGGAATTTTAAGTACTCTCTCTTTGATGGAGAGGGTGACGTTTGACTAAAAGGGAAAGAGTAATAAGGTTGACGTTTAAGTTTTATGTTTTTGGTGGTTTTAAGACATCTTAATGTATGTTTAATTAAATGAATATTCTACTTAGTCCATTAAAATGAAGGCATTATACATTATTTTTATTTATTTGAAGCTCCCCAAAGTTTAACTGATAAACATTTGGAAGTAGTGATATAGGGTTTCCTTCATTTTAGATAGTTCTTTTTGACACACACTATGTATAAATCAGTATAGATGTTAAGAAAGAAAAAAATGCATAAAGGGGACTCCTGAGTTGATAAGACGTAAGCTTTAGTAGGGGGATAGATACACACACATATGTACATACATGCATATGTGCTTCACACCCTATGGCATAGCCAGGTTGTACTGTTGGTAATATATAATAAACTTACAGAAGTTACTCAGAAGTTGCAGAGTTGGATTAGAGGGGCATGGGAAGAGGCCATGTGAAGGACCACTGAATATAGATTTCATGGAAAAGTATCCAGCCTGAGAAAGTGGTCTGCAGAGTTTTAAAACTCAGCAAGATGATTGTGGTAAGGACCTTATTAGATTATCAAGCAGAATAGTTTGAATGTAAACTATATTGCAGCTTAATTATTTGATTTGTGGCAAAATGGCCAGACCCTGTAATAAGGAATTTTGAGCTTAAAGAATCAATAAATAACATAAGGAACTTGTTCATTTTACATAAACTAGAGATTTTACTTTAGTTACGCTGAGAACACAAATGGTGGGACTTTCTGAAAAAGTGTGCTATTTTAGCATAGTGTGTAGTGTCAGTATTCCAGTATTATAGAATTTGAAATAATTCTGGAATATCTGAGGGAATAGAAAGCTCTGAAAATTCTTGCTACAGAAGAATATTGAACTCTATAAATCAGTTGTTGGTGGTTATAATAATTATATAGCACTTTATAAAGTTACAAAATGCTTTTCTTATGTAGAATGTTATGTATTCTGCATTCCTGTTTTAGGTATACAATTCAGTAATGTTTAGTAAATTTACAGAGTTGTGCTGCTATTGCCACAGTCCACTTGTAGAACATGTAATACTTCCTAGTCATAAGTATGATTTCTGCTGAGGGCTTTTTTTTTTTTAATATATCTGATTTTATGGTAGAAACGAAATGAAAAATTGTATCTACCGTAAGGGATGGTATCTAGGGATGTGCTAGAATGTATCTCTTTCAAGAAATGGAATACTTACAGTTGATATACCCTCCAAAAGCCTCATGGCTTTAAGACCAGTGAATTCTGTTGCTCTGCAAAACGTTGTGTTACAAATAATAGAGTACTGCAATTGCTGGGTCGTATGGTATCTCTCTTTTCAACTTTTTGAGGAACCTCCATACTGTTTTCCAGAGTGGCTGCACCAGCTTAAAAAAAAAAGAAGATAGCAGGAGGGGAAGAATGAAGGGGGGGAAATCGGAGGGGGAGACGAACCATGAGAGAGTATGGACTCTGAGAAACAAACTGAGGGTTCTAGAGGGGAGGGGGGTGGGAGGATGGGTTAGCCTGGTGATGGGTATTAAAGAGGGCACGTTCTGCATGGAGCACTGGGTGTTATACACGAACAATGAATCATGGAACCCTATATCAAAAACTAATGATGTACTGTATGGTGATTAACATAACATAATAAAATAAAAACAAATAATAGAGTACTGAGTATGATGATGTCAAAGAATAAGGAACTTGACTCCTAGACTGACTCTGTAGGGCAGGAAACTGGCCTTTGATATCCTTATGGTAGCTTTGACACATTTTCTTCTATATTTTTGCTTTCATCTTCATTTATTTACTTAAGATCTATCCAGTGTTGTAATTCCCCAGATAACCAGTGTATGAAATGCTTTTGATGTTTTAAAAAGGATTATCAGTCCCAGCTGTTCCTGGAGCTCTGGGCCCTCTCACAATCACATCCTCTGCTGTCACTGGAAGAATGGCCATTCCTGGGGCTGGTGCTTTACCAGGAAATTCTGTTCTGCTTGTCACCAATCTCAATCCTGATGTGAGTTGAGAAAATTTCTATAATTTTAGTCTTCGAGGAGGAGGTATAGTACTTTCTGGTCTAGGGTTGTATTCAAATGAAAATGTTTGTTTCAAGGATTTTTTTATTTTAAAGATTTTATTTATCTATTTGACAGAGAGAGACACAGCAAGAGAGGGAACACAAGCAGGGGGAGTGGGAGAGTGAGAAGCAGGCTTCCCACTGAGCAGGGAGCCTGATGCGGGGCTCGATCCCAGGACCCTGGGATCATGACCTGAGCCAAAGGCAGATGCTTAATGGACTAAGCCACCCAGGCACCCCTGTTTCAAGGATTTTTATTAAAGTTCATCACTTAGTATATATAGGAGAATATAAAATCAATGCTTTAAAGTCAACTGCTGTTTTTACGAGTAAACTTCTTTTAAATTTTTACTTAGGCACTTATATTTTGTGTTATCCTTTTCAAACAGCTTATCACACCACATGGGCTTTTTATCCTGTTTGGTAAGTTCTTTGCTGTTTTTGATGTCTGTGATTTAACCTATTTCACCATTCAGTAATATTTATCAATTATCTCTATTTGCCAAGTAGTGGGTTTGACGCTGAGGATAGAGTAGGAAATAAGACTAAGTAAGTAATTATAGTTACAATAAAGTTTTATAAAAAGGGAAATAGAGATTGTAATGGGAACATGGAGCTGGGAGACCTAACTTAGCTGAGGGAATCAAAGGTGGTGTACAAAAGAAATGATACTTAAGCTGAGTTGTGAAAAATGAGTAAGCATTAGCCAGGCAGAAGGGCGAATGTCCTTTCCCAGATACTAGCAATGGGTGAGAGAGCTCCTGGAACGTGGAAGTGAAGGAAGCCCCCCCAGTGGAAAATGTAGGGGAGATATGTTGAAGCTGGACAGATGAATATGGGCAAGGTCATGAAGAGCTTTGTAAACTAAATTAAGGAGCTTGATTTTTAACCTAAAAACAGTGGGAAACCACTGAACAGTTTTAAGCAGGGAAGAGGCCTAATGAAATCAGGTTTTAAAAAATGAGTTTCAGATTTTAAAAAGTTTCCAGACTTTCTAATAGTGTTCTTCTCTCAGTTAGAAATAAATTTTTAGCATGTACTCATAATTTATATATGATTATTTATAAACTTTATCCATTTTTTACTGTACAGTATAATAGCACAAACAAATATAAGAGCAACAAAATAAGTAATATCCAGCATTTTAAAGATTTTTATTGATGAAAATTTTCATAAAAAACATTAACAGTGAAAAGTATGATTTAACATGCTTCATTATTTTCAAAAATAATGAAAAATAATCTTTCCCATTTTGATTTAGTATTTCTGGATCTGATTCCAAATTCAGTTTATTTTAGTACTTGATCTTAATGGTTGTCAAAACTAAAAAAGATAGCTCATAAAGTTAAGCGATTTAAGTGGAAATATTTCACTGTCACTGTGCCTAATTATGATACTAATTTTTCAGTCTAATCCACTTATTTTCGTTGTACTTTGCCTAGAGAAGTTCCATTTTTTTCCTCTTGTTAAATTGGTTGATGTTGAAAACTGTTGCATTAGAATATTTTTTTAACAAATTGGGTTAAAACTCACTGGTACTCTTTATTTGAAAGTTTTATTAGGATGGAAAATTGTTTCAAAATTTTGAGTCTATAATAGGTTTTTTAAACAGTCTTTTTGAGATATGATTTATAGTCATACAGTTCACCTACTTTAGGTATATAAATCATTGATTTTTAGTAAATTTACATTGTTGTACAGTCATTACCACAGTCCAGTTTTAGAACATTTTCATCACCCCACAGAGATCCTTCATACTCACTGGAGTTACTATGAAAGTTTTTATTCATAACACATTCATGTAATTTTCAATAACAAAATTAGGTATTAATGATAAATTTTCACATGTCTCTTTAATAGCTAAAGTACATTTCTTTCTAAAAGTAGTTAATTTCTTACTCATTTAAAAAAAATAGCACCCTCAGCTTGAAGAACAAATTGTATGTGTTATTTTTTAAAGAATATCTATTTTAGCCACTCGTCGTTTCTAAGAAGGACAGCATGTTTGGAATACTGGTCTTTTTGTTTTAAATTTTAAAAGTACCATTCATCTCTAAGTTCAGTTGCCCTTAGGTGCTTTCCCACAAGATAACGAGCACTCTTTTGTGTGCCTCGAAGATTTTCAGTTATTCTCTCATCACATTACAAAGTATGGTCATGGTGCTACTTACTTAAGAGTCTTATTTTTATTATATTGGTGATACCCTCTAGCATATAAACTGCAATATATTTTGATATACTGAATTTTAAAAAGAGAATACTCTTCTTATTGTAGAAACTTCTCCCTGTAATTTCATGTATATATTAAAAATTAGTAAGATGTAGTTTTTATATTGGCTTATATAAACAAATCAGTATAAATAGGAGTTTGATTATTTCCCCCTACACCCCAATGAATCATTTTGCCAGTCCTTTGAAATATGGGATCCACTTTGGAAAAGACAGAAATAGAAAAATTGGTTGTATTGAGGTCAGTTAGGAGGCTATTAGGATAGTCCAGGTGTGAAATGATGATGGTGGCTTTGATGGTAATGAGGATGGGAAGAAGCAGACAAATGTAAGAGGTAATTTAGGCCATAAAATGGGTACTGGTGATTGATTGGATGTAAAAGTTTAAGGAAAGGGAGAAATTAAAAGATGACTCCCAGGTGTCTCACTGGAGCAAGTATGTGGATGATGGTAATATTTATTAGCAGAGTTAGTGAATACTGGAAGCGGGGAGAGGAAAGGGGAGATGAATCTGTTTGGGACATACTAAATTTGAAGTGTTTATGGGACATCCAAGTGAAAAGGGTTGAGTAGATTAATAGATGTGAAACAGAAGAGATACAAATTTGGGCTCATATGTGTAGAATTGCCCAGAGAATATATATAATATGAGACAAGAAGCCTTCTTAAAATGTATTCATAAAATTAAACATTACACAGGAATTAAAATTTTTAATAAAGTTTTGTTTTTTCTTTTCAATTAGGAGTATATGGTGATGTACATCGAGTGAAGATTATGTTTAATAAGAAAGAAAATGCCTTGGTTCAGATGGCAGATGCGAGTCAAGCTCAGCTAGGTACTAATGATTAATAGTAATGATAATCTGCCCCTTTTGTATGTCAATTTTCCTATAAAATAAATTTATAGGTAATAGGAATACGATTTTACTGAAGAGTACCTCCTTATGCAAGTGTCTTCATTATTATTTGGACCTGCTTATAGTTTAAGATTTAAAAATATTTATTACTCTTTGAAGTCTGAAGTTCATTCATCTATTTGAACCTGTTGTTGATGTTTAGAACTTTGACTCTAGGGTTTTTCCATTAAGTATAAACTAATAAATGTGCCTTGTTTTATTTAATTTTTTTTGTTGTTTGTTTTTCTTCCAAATTAAGTTTTATACTATTTCATGGCTTAAAAGTTTGGGCAAGCTTCATAATGATGGTGCAAGAAAATGGCATTCCATGGCCTTATTGTTCATTCTTACAGTGGCTGTTAAAAATATTACTACTCAGATTTTTTTATTAAAAAAAAATAATAATGTGTTCCCAAGGGGCATCTGGCTGGCTCTGTTGGTAGAACATGCAGTTCTTGATCTCAAGTTTGTGAGTTCAAGCCCCATGTTAGGCACTTAAAAAAAAAAAAGTGTTGCTTGAGATTAAACTACCTTTATTCAGTTAACCATTTCCTGAGCACTTGCTATGTTCTGTGCACTATGGAACTGTCTAGCACTCTGCTAAGAAAATAGTTATTTTTTGTTTAAGATTGCCTCTCTTTCATTATAGTCAAGTAAAGTCACTTAATACATTTCTGTATGTAAGATTTTTTGAATTTAAAACCATTTTAACCCTCAGAACTGACAGTATAATTTCAAATGACTAAATAAAAGGAATTTGTGATAATTTAGACAAATTTTACAGTGACTCTTAATACCCAAAATTTATTTTTTTCCTCTGCACCAGCAATGAACCACCTAAGTGGACAGAGACTTTATGGAAAAGTACTTCGTGCTACACTGTCCAAACATCAGGCAGTTCAGCTTCCTCGAGAGGGACAAGAAGACCAAGGTCTGACCAAGGATTTTAGCAATAGTCCTTTGCATCGCTTTAAAAAACCTGGCTCTAAAAACTTCCAGAATATCTTTCCACCATCAGCTACTCTGCATCTTTCCAACATTCCGTATGTACCTAATTATTTATTATTCATTTAGATGATTAATTATGTTTTGGGAGAGGTAGAAACTCTGAAATTATTCTGATGTAGCAGTTGTCCTAGTCACTTAGATGGTTTATTTGCCATCATGTCTTAAGGTTCTATCTCTAGTCATACACTCCAAAAGTGAAAGGTAACAATTTCTTTCCAAATAGGGAATTAGCAACTAGTTATCTCTCAGTTTTAAAAGGGCATGAAAATAAGTTTGTGTCGGGGCACCTGGGTGGCTCCGTGGTTGGGCATCTGACTCTTGGCTCAGGTCATGATCGTAGGGTCCTGGGATTGAGCCCTGCATCAGGCTCCACACTCAGTGGGGAGTCTGCTTGTCTCCTTCTCTCTTCCCCTCCCTCAGCTCACACACTCTCTCTCTCTAAAATAAATAAATAAATAAATCTTTTTTAAAGAAAAGTTTGTGCAGAAATATTCCATTGGTACATACTTGTTCATCTCTTTGTATAGAAGTAAAGGATTAAATTAATTTTTAAAAAAAGAAGGATTAACCAACATAGCAAAATCACATACTTTGTATCTAAATAAAAATATGGGAAAAGTGGACTCTCTAGTATTTATCAACAAGTTGCAAAGCCATTTATATATTAATTACTTAAAAGCTAAAAATTACTTTATTGTGACCACTCTGTGTTAAGCAGTGTTGTAGTAGACTTGTTCTTTACTCATCTTCTAACTCAGGAATTAACAAACTATAGCCCACCAGTCAAATCCATCTGTTTTTATATGGCCTGTGAACTAAAATTGATTTTTACATTTTTAAATGGTCGTGGGCGGGGGGGAGAAAATCAAAAGCAAAGAATTTTGTGATTTTAGAAAATTATATAAAATTCAGATTTCACCTTCCAAAAATAGTTTCATGGAAGATAACCACACTCATTCATTTACATAGTTCTGGCTGCTTTTGAGCTACAACAGCAAAGCTGAATAGTTGCAACAGAGACTCTGTGACCATCAAAGCTTAAGATACTTACTGTGTGGCCCTTTATAGAAAGCATCATGCAGTCCTTGTTCTAATTCTTGATATCCTTGACCTTTGAAGATGGCAGTTGTGTATAACTTAATCTAATTCATGAAGGAGTAATGAACTTTGGAAGGGGTGGGGTAAAAGCTGTGGGGTATGGTTGTATATGCCCATGTGTGTGTGGAAATTTAAAGACTGAGGGAATGGAGAAAGGGTAAAATTCTAGAACATTATTTAGAATGAGAATGGGGATGAATAGGAATAGAAAATAATCACTCAAAATAATGTGCATTGCTCGGGCTGCCAGCTGGTCTCTGGTTACGCTACCTGAAGGAACCTTGAATCTGAATTGGGCAATGGCTCAAACCTCATTCCAGCCAGGAAACTAGAGGAGTCGCTGAAGGAAAAACTCGAGATTACATGGATCTAGAAATGGAGCAGCTCATTACTATGGAGTCAGGTAGAAGGACAACATACTTAGATACGAGACAGGCTCCTGTCATTGTTACCTTCTTAAATACATTATCTAGGGGCTGGTCTCAGGTTACAACCTGGAAAGGACATTAATATTTTTTGAACCATCCTCCAATTCCTGGGCACCATACTGGTAACTTACATGTGTTACCTCATTTAATCTCCGTATAATAACCTTTTTTTAATGTGGTGAAATACACATAACATAAAATTTATCTTTTTCACCATTTTTTAATGTGCTGTTCAGTGTACCTTCACATGAAGTGCATTCCTGTTGTACAGCCATCACAACTGTCATCTGCAGATTCTTGTCATTATCCCAAACCGAAGCTCTGTACCCATTAAACAGTAATTCCTCATTTTCCTCTCTACCCCAGTCCCTGGTAACCACTGTTCTCTGTCAATTCATGCATAGTAACCTTTGAAGTAAAGTCATTAGTTTCATTTATCAGTGAAACTGAGAGTCTCAGGTTAAGTACCTTACTCAAAGTCATATACCGATGAATGAGAAATAGAATGTGAACACAGATCCGTCTCCTTGCAGACTCATTGTTCTACTACACCATCCTTACTGGCAATCATGTGAAATACAGTCTTCTTTCATCTCATAAGAAATTAGTGAAATAGGACAGCTGCTATGTTAGAATAATTTAGTCAGTTGACCCTCATGTGATAGGCCACTGTACTCGTTATCTACTGCTACATAACAGATCACCCCAGAACTTAACAGTTTAACAAAATAGTAAACGTTTATTATCTCATACTGTTACTCTGAGTCAGAATCCAGAAATGGCTTAGCTGGGTGTTTTTGACTAAGGATCTCTCATTAACTGGGGCTAGAGGATCCACTTCCCAAGTAGTTAACTTACTTACGTACCTAGTTGTTGACAGGCAGCCTCAGTTCCTTGCCACACGGTCTTCTCCATATGGCTGCTTGAGCATCCCCATGAAATAGTAGCTGGTTTCTTCCAAAGTTAATGATTCAAGGAGGGCAGGGTGGGAATCACAATGTCTTTCAGCCTTAGAATTCAAACATGTCATTTCTACAGTACAGTAAAGGTTACAGAGGACATCTCTTCGTTATGGGAGAGGAGTATCTAAAGGCCTCAATATTAGGAGGCAATAATAATAGAGAGTCATCATAGAACCTGACTCCCACATACATGTATTCAGAATTACCCTAAAAGCCATCGAAAATGTAGAACTCTGGTGGTTGATAGCTAACAAGTCAGAACTGGGAGGTAACTTTGGTAATATTAGAAGTAGCTTTGGAAATACTAGAGTTAATTACTGAAATCAGTGATATGGGTAATTATCCCTTTAAAAGAAATACAGATAGATTTTCTTGTTCTTTATATACCTGCTCATATCTTACGCAAAAGATTTGAGACCAAATTACATTGTTTGAGGACATGTATGTGACAACCTTGAACATCTTTCAGGGCACTTCCAAATCGTGTCTTCATTGTATGGCTTTATTATCTTTGAAATGTGAGCTACTCTGGAGATTTGACAGTTGCAGCAGTTAATCTTTGGTTCATGGGAGAATTGGGGCTTAAGATAGTTGACACTCTCTGTGATGTTTTCACAGCCCTTCTGTTACAGTGGATGATCTGAAGAACCTTTTCACAGAAGCGGGATGTTCAGTGAAGGCTTTTAAATTCTTTCAGTAAGTCCATGCTTTCAAGAAATACATTAACATTATTTAATGTGTTAATGCAAATTTTTAAAGTAGTTTAATGAAGTCTTAGAGGGTTGGGGAGAATTGTAGGCAAAATTAATTCTATATACTTTTTATTTCTTACCTTATTTTCAGGAAAGATCGCAAAATGGCACTCATTCAGTTGGGATCTGTGGAAGAAGCAATCCAGGCCCTCATTGAGCTTCATAACCATGACCTTGGAGAAAATCACCACCTCAGAGTTTCCTTCTCAAAATCTACAATCTGATTTTTCTGTGAATTTTTCTCCTAAGATTGGACCATAATTTCAGTAAAACCTTCAGACATAGACTGAAGCAGCTCAAGACCAATTCTGCCTCTTTCACAAAAGTAACTCTGGTTTGATATTCAAGTATATTCAGAAAATCAAGGGATGTTCTTTTTTTCCATTTTTCCCCCTTGCCAGTATGTGATCAAAGGTTTGTTTTTCCTTTGTACCATAGTTTCTATGAAAATAACCTTTAGGAAAAAAAAAATCAGGAAAGGAATTTTTTTTCAATAATTTAATTCCCTGTATTAAATTGGATTTCAAGAGGACAGACTTTCTTTTAGTTTGGGTCCAGATCAGCCTTATACAACATTTCTAAAATCCTTTGTACTTTGGAAAAATTTAAACATATAGACTTTAAAAAAAAAAAAAACAAGTTTTTAACTTGATGTTTCAGAAGTTCAACCCCTATAGGAAATTATGTTCACTTATAAATTACATTATTTGGCATATATTAATAGGTATACATAAACAGATTGGGTTGTATTGGAAGAAAATTTATAAACTTGCATGTTTTCCTTCAATGGTTTCTTTTTTTCCACTGTAAGACACTCCTTAGACTAGTACACACCTTCAATTTTTTAAGACTCTTTGGAGAAATGAAGTGTCTCAGTTGTCCCCAAGGAAATTAAATAGAATCCAAGATCTATTAAGGTGTCAAATTCATTATTAGTTTTATTAGGAAAAATCATGGTTTAAATTTCAAAATGACACTATTTGCTGAGTAATATGATCTTGGAAAATTTAAGAAGAAAAGTAATCTACTTACAACTACTTTTTTTATAATTGTTTTCAGAAAAAAAGTTTACAGTCTTAAGGAAAATATTCAGGTCTATCATATGGTTTGACAGATTTTTTAAAAGTTATTTTTGGTAAGGTCTTCTTTTAGAAAAAAATTAATCTCAAGGGTTTTTTGTACCACTATAATCTCTAATACTTATTCAGAATTACTGTGTATTTACTTAATTTCTTATTATGTGCCTTATTATGTGCTTATGATACAATAGGTTAGAATTTTATCTAAGTATCTTGAAAGCTATATCGTGGGCTTGGTGAGCATTTTGTTTTTTCTTTCCCTGTTTTGGTAAGGATTTTAAAGTTTTTTCATTGCAATTTTAAGTGGTTTTCAATAAGTAATAGTTTTTATTCAAATTTTTGGTGCTTTGGTGCAGAGATGGGGTGGGGAAGGGTGAATGGTTTGGGGACTATCTCAGTGCACACCTGTAGGCCTCTTCACATCGTGACCAATAATGGTCATGCAGTCATTGACAGAGCGTACCAGTTTGGGACTATAAAATGCAATCTCAGTTTCTGGATCTTGTCTAACCTTTATCACTCATTAGAATTTGTCTCAGGATTACTTGGTTTTTCTCAGTACTCAAGTGACATGCTTTTCTTTGTTAATGTAACATCATTACTGAGTGCCCACATACATGGAGTATGACAAGGTGGGCTCCTTTTTCAATACTCTGTCCCTCTCTATAGTTGAGTGTAAGAATATGTTTTAATGTTGCTTCAGTGATTCTATAATGTAAAATTCTTTCTTTTTAATGAGAAACTTTGCATTTGTTAATTATTTTTTTCAGTGCTTGATCCGATTTTTTTAAAATCAGAATTTGTCAAGGGGGTCATTTTTGTCCATCCCTTTTACAGTTTTCAGATCCTCAGAGTAGCTCATCTCACCTTTAAAAACAATATCTCAATTTCTTTCCTATATTCCAGCCATTAGTTTGAATGTTGGAAGATTTTCACAAAAAATTGGGAGACTACAGAAGATACTGTAGGTTCTTAAAAAGCAGAATTCACTCAACTCTGAGCAACAGGTAGTTGGTAGATAGAATAGGAAGGAGGACACTAAATTTAGAAACCTTTCAGATGACTCCATTTTAGCATTGACTGAATAGATAGGTATAATCATTTATATAGTTTTTATTTTTTTTCACTTAATGTGTTTTTACTAAAACACTTGAGTAAGGGGGGAGGAAAAAAAATTTTTTTTTTTTGGGAGAGAAATCTCCCAAAATTTGCTTCTTTTTTCCTAACATACAGGCACTATTATAATTGTCAGTGACACATTAAATTGGATTATTTTGTTCGCTTTGAGTTAGGAATTACTGTGTGATTTAATTCATGATTCTCATAACATTCAGTGTCAATGTAGCAGAAGGGAGATCATAATAGCATTGAATGTAATTTTGAAGTAGGGAATGGCCTTTAAATCTGAGAGAGAACATTTGAATCCTTTTTTTTTTTTATTCTTATGTTAATCCCCAACATTTGAATCCTTTTCAGGGAGGGTGTGTGTGTGTGTGTGTGTGTGTGTGTGTGTGTGTGTGTGTGTAGATAAATATATATACATACATGCACTCTTCTAATGTTGTACATACATATGCACAGTACATACATTTTAATTTATTGACAAAATCAAATTAAGATTTGGAAAAGTGAGATATTCTTATCTAAAATATTATGCTTGAAATCATCAATTTGTGTCTGAAATTAGCTGTAGTGCATGGATATTGTCCATATTGGGTTATTTGCTGTTTGAATTATAGAGGTCTACAGTATTTGTTTTGGCATAGTTTCTGTAAAAAGATTTAAAAATATCAGGGTAGTGGAAAAACTAGATCTTTGTACTTTTGTTTTGGCATGCATTTATTCAGTGTCTTCTGAACAATGTTTGTTTTCGCTGTTGAGCTGTCATAGTATCCTATTTTTAAGTTTATTTACTTTATTTTAAGGAGTATTGTCTTATCACTTTTTGGAAATGTCTTGACTTTTACACAAAGTATATATATTCAGGTCTTCAAAAAATAGCAGTACACGTTCAGCAGTAGCAATTTATGCCAAAAAGTTTTACTTTGAGATTTAAATAACTTGCATAGCAGTAAAATGTGTTTTGTGTGAGATAAAAACAGAAAAATGACCCAGTATCTTAATATCTTAATTGATAACTTACTGGAGAGTATCAGAATTCCCAATAGCTCCTATAGAATGACATAAATCGTTTAAGATTGGTAATCATTTATTTTTAGTAATGTTTCTGATTCTATTGTTAAAAGTTACAGATCTCACAATTTTTAGAGACAGAATTTCTGCCTGCTTAATTCCTTATGGGAGCAATGCCTTCTTTGGCTCCTCCTAGGATGGTGATCATTGGTTCTACTTCAGATGATAAAAAGTTAACTCTCATAAATGTCTCTGTTCATTTTCATACAAACATTTCAAAGCTGCTATGTCATTAGGCAGTGAAATTTATATAGTGAATATATTATCATGTAATTTCTGTTCCCACTAAATATTTTTGGACAAAAGATGACAAACTCAAAAGTATGTGTCCGTCCCCTCCCCGCCCAGTGACTCACTTAAAAACCCTACATTTGCCAAACTATCAGTCTGTCTCTTCAAAAACCAATGTGTACTGCTATTTTTAAAACCAAAAAGACAGCATGACTATGCGTAAAAGCATTTTTCTTAGCCTTTCCTTTGTCTTGATCAGTTGTTAACAAGAATAAAACTGCCAGACTTAAGATATTCTATTGTGCTAAAAGAAATACAGTTTAGATTGCACAAAAGTTTTCCTTTAAAGAAAATAGAACTCAGCTGTCCTTCAAAAGAGCTGTGTTGTTATCTATAAGACTATTTGCAGTCTTTTTTCACAGCAAATTCTAAAAGTTAGTTATGAATGGTTTAAAAAGTAGAAAATTACTAAAAAGTTTGGGGGGTTTTATAAAGGGAGGAAAACAAAACAGGACCAAAGTTTATGTGCCTTCTTCAGTAGTCTTAATTGACCTTTTCTTCCTATTTGAGACTAAGGTAGTATCAGTATTCTGGTTTTCAGGAAATATGTACTATATAATTTTAAAAGAATGTTATCCCACGGACTATTCATACAAGCAAAGAATTGTAACTGTATAAATGAAGTCTCAGTTACAGTTTGCCTTTATCACATAATATTCATTCTACAGCATTTTGCAGGTCCAAGAATGAGCTGCTCTACATCTTTGTGGTAGTCATTTTAGTTTTTGTAACCTGAGGCATATGTTCCAGAGAACAGGGATATTTGTCTGGTCCAGTGACCTTGGTGATGATAGTCATGATTGAAAGCTGCTTATAGCAAGCTCAAGTCAGCACTGTAAACAGATTTTGTTGTGTTAATTTTCAGTTTTTGAACCTACGTAGTAGTTGTATTAACAGATATTTAAATAGATATTTTTGATGTCATTTAAAAAAAACAATATGCTCTGGCCTTTCCCCCCCCTTACCATTGTTACCCAGATCTTTTAAAAATTCATCCCACATCCAAAAAGTACTAATTATAGATTGCTGACCAAGCAAAGTTTTGCATCAAAATGTCACCTCATTGCTCTGACCAAAGACTTACTGTTCTGGTTTTAACTCCTCTCATTAAGCATTTTTTCCCAAGCTCCTTTCTGAAAGAAGACCCAGTGCAAAGCGGCCTTTACTTTCTATTTCCTATTGGTGAATAGACTACTTAGAGAAAATGGGAGTATAAATGTGAACAGAACGGATTAGGATGACAAGGGTTTGATGGGCATTTTCAGTACTGTATTTAAGAAAAACAAAAATAGCACAGCTAGGAGCCTCTGACATTGTCTTGTGTTTTATGTGGTCTGTTCATAAAATTCCCTTTTTCAGTTTGTAAGAATGTTCATCTAAAAGTAGAAAATGCTGTAAATATTTGTAACAACATTTTTTTTAACCAGGCCAAAAAAGGAAAAAAAAAAAGGTTTTTGGGAACAAGTTAACATATAAAGTGGTTTTATATAAAACATCAATTGTCTTGTATATTTTGATAAGCAGCAGTACCAGCTTTCATTTGTAACACAGTTTGTGGTGTTGGAAGAAAAGGATTCTGTGATTGTTTAAGTGAATTATGTTATAAATGCAAAGAGAAGATAAAATATTAAAAAACATATTTTCTAAATGCGTAGTGCATGGTTAATTCAAGGTTCTGTACTCTACAGTATATTCCATTTTCGTTCAGTTTGTATATTTGCTGACTATTACTTGATAATCTCTAATCTCTTTTCCTAACAAGTATAGCATTGTAGCATGCCTTTTAATAAATGTCATGACATCTGTACTCTCTTAAAATTTTCCGTGTTCTTGTGTCTGTACTTTGGGTTTCCTCTTGTCTTACCTGTAATTCTAATGATGTCATACTTTCTTTTCTTTTTCTTAACCATCCATCTAAACTTGTCATAGAGGGAATAGTAAACAGATATTCATACTTTAAAAACTGACAAAGCCCTAAGTCTGCTAACCCCCTCTTTTAATTAAGGAATGATTTTATTTTGAGAAGCAAAGTGCTTTTCTGATCGTCTTACAATGCAACTTCTTCTGTGGCCCTCTCCCTTTAGTACAAGTAAACAGTGACACATGTGTGAGTTCTCTCTCTCCCTGTCTGTGTATCTGTCTCTCTCCACCCACCATACACACACTCTCCACATAAACGCAATTGCCAAACAAGAGTTGGAACACTTTTTCCAGTTCAGATTTTGGCTTTCCTATGGGATGAGTGTACATAAATTTGAAACATGAGGTGTGATCTCAGACCAGGTTTGTGTTCTTTTTAATTAAAAGATAACACAGTTACCAGCTGCCAGATACTGCTTTTCCTTAGACAAAAGTTCTATTTTTAAGTTCTTTAAAGAGTTAGTGGATTGTTGGAGTTTATTTTACTCTTTTGCTTAGGATCTTTTGGAAGTAGGAATTTATTTTTAATGGAATATAAGATTAGGTAACCACTATTGATCTTTGCTGGCTAACCTGCAAAATCTATTGTATCCATAAATGTCATTACTTTGTTTTTTTTTCAGTGTAAGAAGCATTTTTATCAGGAAAAGATGAAATAACTACAGCCATACGAGGTTTTATAAGCTTCCTTAACTGTGAAATGCTTATTTACATAGCAGAGGGTTTCTAACCATCACTGAGTCATACAGGTTTGAAATAAATGGATCTAAGAGGCTACCTAGTTGAATCTCCACTTTTTAAAGATCAGCAGTGCAGAGAAGGAAGTGACTGGCCCAAGGTTACATGATAGTCAGTTGTAGAGTCTGGACTAGAACCCAGGACTCCTTGGTATTACCCAGTACCCAGCATTGCCCCTAGGGGTTCTGTCCTGCCAACTATTACGAAGATTGTGATCTTGGAGGTCTGTACACAGAATTGAGGTGCTTATATACTCTTCTGAAAACTACCAAAACCAATTTGAAGACATTGCATAGTGCTGGGGGTGTTTTTGCTGAAGGGTAAAAAATGCCTACCTACTTCTGAAAAACTTAAGCTAAAAATGTAATTACAAGTTGCAAATTTGAGAACTCTTAAAAAATGTAGTTGCTATTCATATTAGTTTGCTAGTGTTCATATAACAAAGTACCACAGATTAGGTGACTTAAACAACAGAAATGTATTTTCTCACAGTTCAAGAGAGTAGAAGTCCAAGATCAAGATGTCCTGAGACCTCTTTCCTTGGCTTATAGGCCTAGGCCATCCTCTCCCTATGCCTTAACACAGTCTTTCCTTTCCTCTCTGTTTCTTTGTCCTCATCTCTCTTTTTATAAGGACACAAGTCATAATTGGATTAGGCCCACCCACCTGACCTCGCTTCACCTTAATTACCTCTTTAAAGGCCCTGTCTCCAAATAGTCACATTCTGAGATATTGGGGCTTAGGATTTCAACACAAGGATTTGAGGGGGACACAATTCACCCCATAGCTCTATTTAGTAAAGATTATTCATTCAGCTCACCAAGTACTGATTATACCAGCAGTTGAGCTAGGTGCCAGGAAAGATACAAAGAGTTAAGGACATGATTGCCTTACTTTTTAGATATGTGTAAGTGTGGAATGTTAGCCTAAATCCATAAACTAAATCATTTTGAACTCTTGCCTCCAATAGGAAGCCCCCAAAATGAATCATGAGGCCTCTCTAGGCAATTCTAGTCAGAATACATAACGGCTAAAGCTATCCTATAGCTAATTATGAATATGTAGGAACACATACACTGCAATAATTATCTACTCTTCACTTTTAGAAATGAACCATTTCAGAGCAGTGATCATTTCTAAGACATACCATTACTTGAACAGTTGAAGGAATAAAAGGACACTGTCGAACAAGCTGTGTGCAATTTTTAATGACCAATATTTGTTGATAGAACTGGGACTTAAATGAACGTAAGAATAGTTCAAAGTGGGCGCCTGGGTGGCTCAGTTGGTTGGGCGACTGCCTTCGGCTCAGGTCATGATCCTGGAGTCCCGCATCCGGCTCCCTGCTCGGCGGGGAGTCTGCTTCTCCCTCTGACCCTCCTCCCTCTCATGCTCTCTGTCTCCCATTCTCTCTCTCAGATAAATAAATAAAAAATCTTTAAAAAAAAAAAAAGAATAGTTCAAAGTGTTAAACTCTTTACAATTTGAGTGATTGTTCCTGCATTATCGATTTTTTTCTGTTGTCCTATTTTGACTTCTGGAAATTGGTCACTATATGTTTCTATCAAAACAATTTATGCTGAACGGATAAAGTTCTAATAATTTTGTTGGAATTACTGCATTTGTAAGCCATTGGGTTTAGATGTAGAACTTCCAACTGTGCTAGTATAAAGAAAGTATAGTTGACCAGAAAAGTGAATTCTGATGTTCCATGCAGACCCTGTTAAGAGATTGTCTTTAATCAAATGAAAGCTGGTATTAGTTATATTAATTAAACTTTAGGACACACACTATTAGAGATAGATTTCATAATGATATATTTATATAATGAAATACTTGATAGTTATGCAAAGAATATAATAAAGCTACATAAAAGCTACGTGAAGAATCTCAGAGGTGATGTTGAACAAAGGCTGTACACAAAAGAATACATAATGTATAATTCTATTTACATTATGTTCAAAAACAGGATAGTGGTTACCTTTGGAAAGGAGGTAATTGAGGGTATGAGAGGTTCTGGTGTGTGGTTAATGTTTGGTTTCTTAACCCTTGTACCCGTTATCCAGGAGAGTTTACTTTCTGATTATTCATTGAGCTTGTACACTTGGGATTTGTACATTTATCTGTATGTTATACTTCAATTAAAAGGATTTGGGGGCACCTGGGTGGCTCAGTCATTAAGCGTCTGCCATCGGCTCAGGTCATGATCTCAGGGTCCTGGGATCGAGTCCCACCTCGGGTTCCCTGCTCATCGGGAAGCCTGCTTCTCCCTCTCCCACTCCCCCTGCTTGTGTTCCCTCTCTTGCTGTGTCTCTCTCTGTCAAATAAAAATAAAGTCTTTAAAAAAAAAAAAAGGATTTTGAAAAATGATTGTAATTGAGCAAGGAGCTCTAAACTGTTCTCCTTGCTTCTTAAGTCAGCTGATTATTCTACCCAGTAAGTAAGACCTTGTTATAAAGTACTCAAGATACCATGAACTGGGTTTCACAGGGCAACCTTCCCACATATTTATGGCATTTCTCTGGCCATGGCATACTTAGAGGAAAAATATTACCGAGAACAAAACAAAAAGCACAAACTTTTCAAGTAAATTTTACTTTTTTGAACAGCTTTACACCCAACTCATTCAGAAAAGATTGCATTAATAGTTTTGTTTTTGCAACTATAAACCTGATCCTGTGGGCTATTTGATATCTAATCCCTTAATATATTTCCATCAAGAAAAGCCAGAAAGACCCCTAGCTCACTAGCTCACTAGCATCCTGAGAGACTATACAGAAGGCTTAGCAAAGCTTCTTGTCATTAAGATTCTTAAATATATACTAATTAGTGTCATGAACTCCATGGACCTAGTAGCCACTGCCACAAGCCAATCTTGTTTTATCTATTCTTCATCCCATTCCTTGGATGATTTTGAAACAAATCCCAGTCATCCTCTAATTCCATCTGTAAACATTTCAGTATGTGTAAGTCCATATGTTGTAGTTGCTGATAAAGTCTTCTAGTACATAGCTTTCCTTTCCATTGTTTTGTTGTTCCCTTACAACTTACTTGAAGGAACTGAGCTATTTCCTCTAAAAATTCAAACAGTCCAGGGGCGCCTGGGTGGCTCAGTCGTTAAGCATCTGCCTTCGGCCCAGGTCATGATCCCAGGGTCCTGGGATCGAGCCCCGAATCGGGCTCCCTGCTCAGCAGGAGGCCTGCTTCTCCCTCTCCCCCTGCTTGTGTTCCCTCTCTCGCTGTGTCTCTGTCAAATAAATAAATAAAATCTTTAAAAAAAAAATACTTCATAGATGGCATTGGACACTTAATGTGTCATTATGGTAGTAACCATTGATCACTATTACGTAAATCCATTAATTTTTAAGGATAGCAAAATGACAAAGTCCTATCATGCCTTTTGCATGTATTATTTTGACTGCTTTTATATAATAAGAGAAACTTCCCTTATCAACTATTTGGTTACTCTGAGGTACAGTTTCTATAGGAAAGACAAACACTTCGTTCTTTCCCTTTACTTGCCTGTTTTGAAACGATTGTTTTATTTTCTGCCTTCCAAAACTTAGTGTACCTTGGGGTTTTGTTGGTTTTTTTTTTTAAGCCTGTGCTTTTATGGAAAATTTAAAACATTTGTGAAAGTAGACTCGTGTAAGAAACTTATGTGGCTGTCACCTAACTTGTACAATTCATATTCAGTGTTTTCTATACCCCTCCCTATTCACTCTCTACTTTCACTTGGAAGATTATTAACTATTAAATCATTTTACATAATACTTTTCAAACTGATTGGTAAAAAGTTGTTTATAATATTTTAAAATCTCTACCTAGTTGGTAATTATAGTCCTTTTTTTAAGAGAGGGAGAGAGAATTTTTTTTTTTTTAGAGGCGGGGAAAGGGGCAGAGGGAGAGAATCTCAAGCAGGCTCCACACCCAGCACAGAGCCCAGTGTGCGACTTGATCTCACGACCCTGAGATCATGACCTGAGCCAT